TAGATTTACAAAAAAGATTGCGTATCTATATGAGTATTCATTGATAATACTAAATAGTATCTAGGCAAAAATTCATAAATTATCTCCGGCATTTGAATGATATTATTAGCTTTAAAATAATTGTTTAAAATATTAATATTTCTATGAATGAACTCTCTCATATCTTAATTTCATACATTTGATTATTATTAATATTGTTTATAATAAATATGTAATATATGTGTGTGTGTGTATATATATATTGTATCTACATAATACTTTATATTCATTGATGGTGAGATTCTTTGTTTGGTTTTAGTTAGATCTCAGGTGAGAATTGAACGGATTCAATGATACACTTTAGGTCATCGTTCACATGATTTAAAATTAATTAAAATTATTTCTAATTAATTAATCATTTTTATTTTTACAAATATAGAAGATATATGTAATTCAAGTAAATAAAATATATAAAATATATTATAAATGGTATCTCAATACCATCAATTTGATTATGGATGTCAATATAGAAGAACTTACCTATGAACATTCTACTCCTATAAAAAATAGTGAAGGAAATATTACGGAAAACACAACAAATGGCTATGTATCAGAAGACACTAATTGTACGGCTAATTCGAGTGAATTATTTTCCGGTAATATTTGTTAAATTAATTTATTTATCATTATAATATTTTAAAACATATATATATATTTATATATCAGTAATATTTTTCAGATAATGAGAATGAGAATACAAATGAAAATGATTTAATATGTTATACACCTAATGTTTCAAAAACTGAGACTTCGTTTTTGAATATCTCTGAAACGTCTTTATTAGATACCAATAAACTATTCCAGTAAGATAATATTTATATATTTTATTATTTAATAAATATACGTACTATATAGTATAAGTTTATATCTGTAAGTATGTATGTATATATATTTGTTTTTGAAATAGTACTCCAAGTGCAGAGAAACCAGCAGTTATTCCAAGCACACCGTTAAGTTTATTACCATTTATATCAAAGATTAATGAGCAGTGGACATCTGATTTAGAAACACCTCAAATGAATAAAAGTTTTCCTATAAAATCATCAGAAAGTGTAATAAATTTGATTTCATTTAATAAGAATGTATATTTTTTTATATGTTGCTTACGTACATGTACAATAATGAAATATTATTGATTATATTTTAGATTGAACAAACTGTTTATTTACAAGAATGTACTCCAAATAATTCACATTTTAAGAATATATTTGAAGAGCCTACATCGACATCTCCTGTGATAAACTATACAAGAATGAGACGAAGAACTAAAAGGAGAATTTTTAAGAATACTTCTTCTAACGTAAATGTCGATAAAATTGCATTGAATAATCAAGATAGTGAAAATGATATTGTAGCTATGGATACATGCGATGATATAGAGAAGAAAAATATTCTTTTGGAAAGTAATAGTGGAAAAGATTTTTTCTCTGATGCTTCTTTTGCTAGCGTAGATCAAATTTGTGCTAGATTCGCTGAAAAGAATGATACACTTAATGTTGAATGTAGTAATAAAAAAAGGCGTTACGAAGAAGTATTAGAAGATAATATTACAGTATTAAAAGGAAATTTTAATATAAATCAAAATGAATGTGATGAAAAGAAAATATTAAATAGTGGTAGTAAAATAACATTAGATATGACAATGAATAATATAGGATTTTCTACAGCAAGCGGGAAACACATTAATGTATCTGAGTCTGCTAT